CTTTGAGCACTAGAGTCAGGTCCCAAGAGGGTATAGAGGGGGGCCAGGAGGATTTATCCTTGTCACCCCCCTAAGGAACCTGACGACCAAGTCATGTCTCCCTACTGACTTCCCTTCCACGGGGTCGTGATACGCAGCAATCGGGGGACTGCAGCTCGTGACAGCTTGCGTGCAAGTTACGACATGTGACGGGAGCGTAGACCACCTTGTACGCAACGGTCGCAGTGTTGTCCGTTCAGACCAGCACGTGCTTCCCTCGTAAGAGCCCTCTGAGACGGTTCAAGGCAAGGCGTTCTGCTAACAACTCTAGGCAGTTGATGTCCCAGTGCAGTTGGGGGCCCATCCATACCCCCAACACTGCAAGCCCATCGTGTGTGCCCCCAGGCGGTGGCAGAGGCATCCGTGTGAACCACAGCATGCCTGGAGACCTGCTCTAGGGGCACTCCTGCCACTGCCATATGCCCCAGGAGCCTCTGAAACTGTTTCACTGGGACCGCCATCCTGCTCTCGTACATCACCGACTGAGCAGGTTCCTGCGTGAGGTGTGTTCGACCGAATCCAACTCCATACCAAGAAAAGAGATCCTCTGCGTCGGGGAGAGTTTGCTCTTTTCCCAGTTGACCTGAAGGGCCAAACGGCTGAGGTGCGAGAGCACCAGGTCCCTGTGTATGCCAGAGATGGCGCTCCTGGATCACCATAGTGGACATCGCACAGCCCAGAGACCGCAGAGTGACCTTCGTTGCACGTAGCGTGAGGTCAGTAGCGGTGCAAAGTTCTCTGAGAACTTATGGGTCATGACCACCACGAGTGCCTTGGCCTGATGAACCTGCAACAACGCCATGGCATGTAAGACAGAAGCAGCTTCCCCACAAGCCGCGTAGGCACTGCCGATTAGGGCCAATGAGCAAAATGCAGCGGCTAGAGTCCTTACCAGGTCAAGAAAATATGATCATGTTACCCAAATTTGACATTCTCTGCACTGGCTACCTATTAAGTTCCGTATCAGTTACAAAATATTACTACTTACCTACAAGGCCCTTAATGGTTTAGCTCCTGCGTACCTAACTAGTCTTCTACCACGCTACAATCCATCACGCTCCCTAAGGTCGCAAATTCTGGACTTTTTGGTAGTACCACTAAATTAGGTAGAGCTTTTTTGCATTTGGCTCCCAAACTCTGGAATAGCCTTCCTGATAACATTTGGGGTTCAGACTCACTCTCTCTGTTTAAATCTAGATTAAAGACGCATCTCTTTAGCCAAGCATTCAAATTAATGCATCTCATAATCTTGTACTGCAGTTATATCTGATCAAATGCATATTATTATTCTTTAGCTTGGGTAAAATAAATCAATTTTGCTTGGTTGGAACAGCAGCTACGCTAATTATATCTCTATATTTTCTCTGTTTTTGCCACGGGATTGATTTACACAAGCTTCAGTCTGGATCCAGAACACCTGAGAAGAGATGATGCCAACCTCTCAGAGGACCTCAGATGATGCCAACCCTGAAACAACACAGAACTACCAAACTTTGCTATAAGTTCGATTGATTGATTTTTCTGTACATTTCTGCCATATGTACATTAACTGACAGTCACCACTGATAAGCTACTACTAAATATTGTAGAAACTAAATTTGCTGTAAAGTTGCTTTGCAACGATTTGTATCGTGAAAAGTGCTATACAAATAAATTTGAATTTAATTGAATCTGTATGATTACCGTCTGTATGACCGGCCATCAGCATGTGATTACTGACTGTATGACCAGCAATCAGTGTGAATGCTGTATGTCTGGCAATCAGAGTATGTACTTGACATACAAAGCTAATTATTTTTTTCTCTCTTCTTTTTTTTCTTTTTATTACTCAAAAAAATATTTTTATTGCATTTTTCTAGTGCTCAAATAAATCCCTTATTCGATGTCTAAGATTCTGTCTATTATTTTGTAATTGAAAAAACGTATGCAGGGGTATATATAATGACTAAAATAGTTTGTAGAACCCTTACATTTGTAAAGGCCTTTCCACACTGAGCGTGATGTGAAAAAGTGAGGTGAATCGCCGACGAACGGCCGAATGTGAAACGATTGTTCGTTTTAGCTAATTCACACCTGCATGCTCGGTGGCACCAACCAACAATGCATTTGTCCTCAGATTTGTATCTCGTAAATGGATTTAACATCATCCGCTGCTCAATATACAGCATTAAATTAAGATAAGGTTCAATCGTGACAACCCTCGGAAGATTTTAGCATGGTAATGAATATGACAATGTTAATGTATTTGGTCTTGGCGTAATAGATCTGCTACGCTGCTGCTGAATTGCTGCTGCTGTTGGTTATTACTGTAGTTGTAGATTATTGCTGCTGCTGCAAGCAAGTACAGGAACTTGCTACTGCCAATGCATATGGCGATACGGTGCCGTGAGTATTTAAGACATATTGCTGCTGCACAAAGATCATATAAAATATCCCTCCAACAAAGCTGGAAGAAGAAAACAAAACAATTAAATATGTATTTTGCTGCTATACAATAATATGCTTAAAATCATCCCTATAAGGCAGAAGAAATATAAAAGGTAAAACCCCCCAGAACAAGCAGATCTATTGCCAAGACATATGTACTGCTGCTGCTGCTCCCGAGAGCCGTGAGACTGTGTGTGTCATACCCCTCAGCAAATGTGCAGTTGTGCCCACTGCATACATATCTTGTGGAGTACTTTCGGAGTATGCATTTATTTGTAATTTTAACTGATTGGAAACAGAACGTAAATGTGGACTTCAAAGTTTTCTTATCCTGTTGTGACCTCTATAGGACCAGCGACTAGTCGACGTCAAGCTTAAAGTGTCATGGCAGATCATTAAAGTCAATTGTTTATTGGTTGTTGTAGGTGTTGCTATGGTGATGTCAGTCAGAATGGCTCCTCCTCTTCCTCTGATCTTTCTGCTCATGATTCACAGTGAGTGACTTATATTACAACAACACTTTGCTCTATATTCACTGATCAAATTAATATTATTGTTATTGTTTTCAAAATATTTAAATTATTTGTGCAGCATCATTTGTGTCAAATATCTGATTTCTGCTCTTATTCTTTACCCTCCACTCATTTTCTTACATTAGAAATAATTCAGCATTTGTAGAACCGGCTGCTGATGTCTTTATTATGAAATCTGTTTCAGGGGTTTATAGTGGTGACTACATATATTGCAAGGACATTTTTATTTGGCCAAGTGTAAATGGAACAGTTTTAACTAATTATAGCTATTTGATCAGAAAAATTGCATTGAGTCATAGGCCCATAGTTTGTATGTTCCTGCAGCCACAATGTTGCAGAAAAGGAAACCTACCTAGCAAACACAGAATTTTCCTCTAATGTTTGTGTTTGGTTCCCATTTGGTTATTTTTTGAGATCCAAATAATAATAACTACTGGCATACAGTAATGATACTTGAGAAAATTTCAAAGTAAGGCGCGGGTATACTTCTTTTTCCATGCTATGTTCCGTCTCAGGCACAGCTGTGTCTGACCAGCTTTCAGAGTATACTTAACCACGAATGAGTGCAGATGGATGAGTTCAACACATGTGCAGTACCACCAAGTGTATTCGTTCTGTCTCAGCATTCACCTGTTGTATACGCGGACAGCCAAAATATACTTTGGGTTAAATACTGGCCGTCCGCTTTCCGCAACAGTCTGCATACTGTCTGCGTGACAGTATTTTCATCAACAGAAGAGTCTGGGGATATCCACACACACACCTTCCGCATGCAACCCAATTTTTGTGTCCGTGTGGACGGTCTGTGTACAACAGCACAGGTGTGAGGTGAATGTTAAGACAGAAAAAGTCCACTTAGTGTTACTGCGCATGTGTCAAGCTCATCCACGCTCATCTGCAGCCGAGTATACTTTGAAAGCTGTATGGATACAGCTGTGCATGAGACGGAGAGGAATGTGAAAAAAAAGAAGTATACCCGGACCTTAATGACGGATTTCTTTGCTGGTTTCAGGTCTGACTGTTTAATTCTGCAACATCCTCCACCAACTTCATGAAGAGCTGAAATAATTTTTCACACTCATTAGGTTTTGAGAAGATTACTGTCATTTGTTGTTCTGAGGCATCATTTTTATATAATAAACATATTGTCATCATTTTCCATAGCTTAATGTTAACTCACAAAACAACATACTATTATTTGTTTCAGGGGTTTCTAGTGCTGGTTGGAGTGTGAATTACAGACATTCACACATCTGTGCACTAAAGAACTCATCAGTGATAATGAGCTGCACTTATACATACCCTACTGGATATAAGATCAAGAATGTGTCCTTGACCAAAAACCCTGTAAAAGGTGTAGAGCCTCCTGATTTGTTTGAGGACCCTGAATACAGTCAGAGGCTTCAGTATCTGGGAGACAAACAGAAGAACTGCACCATCAGACTGAGTCATGTGACACAGAAAGATTCACATGAGTACTATTTCAGACTCATTGCTGATAAACTCGATTTATTCAGTTGGATAAACTGGATTGGCGCTCCCAGATACACAACTGTGGAAGATAATGTGAAATGGATTGGTTATCCAGGAGTGACTCTTACTGTCACAGGTGATTTTGATGAGGTTTCACTTTTCTTCTGTGCATTATGTTGAGTAATAATCGGTGTATGACAGCAGCACTAGATATAATGTGTGTGTTGTGTTCAGATCTTCAGGTGGAGGCTCCTGAGAGAGTGACAGAGGGAGATTCAGTGCGTCTGACATGTAAAAGCAGCTGCGCTCTGACTGACAGAGCAACATTCATCTGGTACAGAAACTCACAGCCATTAACTGAGAGAAGAGACAGAAACAATCAACTCCTGCTGCAGTCAGTCAGAAGAGAGGATGCAGGCAGATACAGCTGTGCTCTACAGGAACACACTTACATCTCTCCTGCTGTTCATCTCAATGTCACGTGTGAGTACAGATTCACTTTTCTTTCTTTCTTTCTTTCTTTCTTTCTTTCTTTCTTTCTTTCTTTCTTTCTTTCTTTCTTTTTTTCTTTCTTTCTTTCTTTCTCCAACTAGATTCCGACTAGAACCAGATAATCTGAGCATATCACACCAGTCCTCAGGTCCTTACACTGGCTTCCAGTTATATTTAGGATTGATTTTAAAGTACTTTTACTCGTTTATAAATCACTCAATGGCCTTAGACCTAAATGCTTCGCAGATATGCTCACTGAATATAAACCTAACAGACCACTCAGATCATTAGGATCGAGTCAGTTAGAAATACCAAGGGTTCACACAAAACAAGGGGAATCTGCTTTTAGTTATTATGCCACCCGCAGTTGGAATCAGCTTCCAGAAGAGATCAGATGTGGTAAAACATTAGTCACATTTAAATCCAGACTCAAAACTCATCTGTTTAGCTGTGCATTTACTGAATGAGCACTTTGCGATGTCCGAACTGATTGCACTGTATTTTATGTATGTATAATCATTTTCTACTTTTAACTGTCTTAAATTTGTTTTAAATCAATTTTTAAATCATTTTCAAAGTTTTTAAATTCCTTATATTACTCTTGTGATAATTTTTTAATGATTATTTTACTTTCTTTTATGTTAAGCACTTTGAATTGCCATTGTGTACGAAATGTGCTATATAAATAAACTTGCCTTGCCTTTCTTTTCTTTTTTTTTTACTTGTAGAATTTGTGTCTGTAACTGAACTTCAATTTTGTCTGTTTAAGATCCTCCAAAGAGTGCCTCAGTGTCCATAACTGGATCTGGTGAAATAGTGGAGGGAGATTCAGTGACTCTGAGCTGCAGCAGTGATTCAAACCCACCTGCAGAAATCAGCTGGTTTAAAGGAGGAACAATTGTAGGATCTGGAAGAATCTACAGCATCTCAAACATCAGCTCTGATCACAGTGGAGAATACAAGTGCAAGTCCAGAAATAAACATGGAGAGAAAGACTCTGATACTGTGACTTTAAACATCACGTGTGAGTTAATTATGGTTCAGTAACTTTGACATTGTAGGTACAATACTTATTTTTGCATTAACATATACAAAATCTACTAGAACAATGTTATATGTATTGTTGACTTGTGTACTTACATTATCCCAAATATTTCATTGATTTATGTTTAAATCTAGAGAAATTCACAGTTTTAACCAGTGAAATGGTCTTTGCATCGCCTGTCCATGACGTCTTATTCCCCCGACCCTCGGTTGTCAGTAGACACCATGGAAACACGCTTCCTGTAAAAATGTGGAAGTAGTTGTTGTGTCATCAAAGCCAGCGATCTCTGGTAGCATCTAGCAAGCCACAGTTTGTTTTACACATTTGTGATGGACGATAAATATTTATTACTGCAGATTATGTCATCAAAAATAACCCTTTAAAGCAGAAATGACTGCGGAGTGGATCACGACAACTCCCATGATCCCATACTTTGTCACTGTGTCATCAAGCTATTGCTGCATCCCAGTGTGCCTACTTATTCTACGCCCTTAAAGTATGTACTCTTTTGGTGAAGAAAAAGTACACACTTTTGAGTGTGTCGTAGAAGAGTAGGCAAGCTTTGGGACATACTATCACGTCATACAATTGCGTCTTTAACGGACCGATCTGTCGCATAGTTACACACACCCTGTCACTGTAACCTAGCCTGTCAATCATCTTCTCAGAGTTTATATCCTCCACATTTCGTTTAATTTAACTTCCTACCGTATTGGAGAGAAAAGTAGAAGCATGTTGATCTCCCAGCCATGGGTCTTTATGTGGAGAACTCTGCTCATATTTTTTTGCATAATGATCATTTAAAAGTTAATGGCCAAACGGATGTAAAGTTCACATTTTTGTTGTAGATTAAATATAACATAGATAACATTAAATGCACAATTTTACCAGGTTAACTGTTGATTATTAGATACTCAAACCCCTTTATCTAAACCTCCCTACTTAAGCGTCGGTCGCGCACATCCGTCTCACATACTATTAAGTATGGACAGTGTGAACATTGGGACGCAGTGTGTCTTTGTTATTGTTCTGAATAAGTGACCCATAGTGGTAAAACTTACATATTGGCCTTTAGATCTTTTAAACATAGTATGTGATGTCATCTTTCTGATATTTAATGAAATCTGTTTTTCCATTTTAGACCCACCAAAGAGCGTCTCAGTGTCCATCAGTCCATCTGATGAAATAGTGGAGGGAGATTCAGTGACTCTGAGCTGCAGCAGTGATTCTAACCCACCTGCAGAAATCATCTGGTTTAAAGGAGAAGCGTTTGTAGGATCTGGAAGAATCTACAGCATCTCAAAGATCAGCTCTGATCACAGTGGAGAATACAAGTGCAAGTCCAGAAATAAACATGGAGAGAAATACTCTGCTGTAACTTTAAACATCAAATGTAAGTTAGTGATGGTTAAAGTAACTGTGACATTGAATACCCTAAACATAAGGCAAAATCAAAGAACTAATTCTGTGATGTAATTTTCCGAGCGCAATTAAGTTCATTTGGAATTTATTTCAGGAGTTTGAAAAAAAAAAAAGCTTGCAAAAGTGAACTTTCCAGAAAATTTAGTTATGGCTGTTAAATGCTTTCGAACTATGATTAGTCCATGGTGATTATGTAATACATAGTTGTGCTCTTTGGCTCTGCCGCCTTTGATGTGGAAATATTCTCCAGTTCATTTCTTCTGTTCAGTTTGTCAAACTTTTAATTGTTTTTATTCACTGATATAAACCTACTACAATTTATGTAAGTGTAAAACTAAATAAATAAAATGTAGGGCTGTCAGTCGATTACAATTATTAATCTTATTATTGTAGCATTTGGACCAATCAGACACAACTTTTTGTTATATTTA